AGGCAACTAGTAAAGATTATGTAATAGCAATCCGATAATCTGATGCCATTTTTAATTTAACTAGTCAGTTAAGAAGTGCTCAATTAACGGTCAAATGACCAATACCAGGCAAAGCATTGGCTTAGACCATATAGCTGTTAGACAATAGGACCTTATTATGGTAAAAATTGATGCGCCGCAGGACACATTTATTAACGATTTGTCACCGGCCATGTTGGTTGTTGAACGCGGCAAGGCCATGGTTTAACAACGAGATTTTAAATTTCGCGCATGCGCATATTGAATAAACCTCCTCAAAAAAAATCACGGTGAGACTAATAAAACAAAAACAAATCGAATTAGCAGTTCACAAGAAAAATAACTTTGATATTGAGCAAAATTTTAGTGGTTCGAAGCTTCTAAAATTTCGGTTATATCCGTGCATTTAAATTCCCAAATACAAAGTCTTTTAACGTTATTGACGCGGAACCTACAAGTCGCTTCGATTTTTTGGCGGATGCGCCGGGTTCGAATTGACTGATCCGAGCAATCAAAACGTCGTAAACGCGACCCTTTTTGATCTGGCGGCCTCGTAAAAACGATACGGCGACGACAGTAAACGCGCCATCACCTCGTAAACTACATATTGTTACTATAAAATTATTTTCGGATTAATTTTATGCCAAAATTGACGACCCGCCGGACACCGGTCCGTTAAACAAGCGAGATCGTTAATGTACTGCTGCAACAGGATTTTCAGTCCATTTCGCGGACGATAATAATAACTTTATTGCAGAGTTTCGAACGAAAAAAATTCAAAATTTTCCGACGGTGCCTCGGGGAAATATTTCCGCACCAAATCAGAGCTAAAACGAAACATCTGCGGGGCAAATTATGGTAATATGTCTGCGCCCGTTAACGCTATTAAGAGTAAAAGTGACAAACCGTTTATATTTAGATGGTACAATAAGGTTCACACCCGCGGCCGTATACGTAATGGTCCATTATTAATAAAGTATCCACCTACGATCGTTGCCGCATTTTATTTAAATTGCTCAAACGAATGTTTACGATTACGAAATTATTCGTACTGCCACGAAAGAATCGTCCGACCCGACCGGAAAGGACAGTCACACGCTCCGACGGCCTTCTGGTAATACCCGAAAATACACTAAAATTATAAAGAAATATATTTATGGTGCTATTTTTCTTTTCCATTACACCTTGTTTTTTCAACTGTCGTACATCGTCCTGAAACATTTTTTTAAAATAAATAAATGTTCATATATCCAAAAATGTGTACCGTATGTATTGTATGTATTGATTCACGAATTTAAAAAATATGTTGAAAAAATTTTCCGGAATGTCATCCGTTCGCTTGTTGAACCCCGATTGGAATCCTGTATATGTTCCGCCAAGATCTCACTTGGCATCTTCAATGCTCACGTCCGAAAACACACTGTGAGTGTTCGAAGTGTTATATATATACAGGGCTATCCACACACGAATCAGATGGTTCTTGGTTATGAAATTCACTGTTTCATTAGTTCGATATCGTAGATCTTCAAGGGTGTCAGGCACAGGAGGGACAAAAATACGCTCTTTTACGTAACCCCAAAGATAAAACTCGCAAGGAGTGAGATCTGGAGAACGGGGAGGCCGCCGTCCAACGTATTGGAACTTTGGAACCTTTAACGTATTGTTCATAAATTTTACACTTTTCTTTTTCGATTAACGCTTGAATCATGATTCTATCTTTAGTAGTTGCGAATAAATAACTGTTTGAAATCTGCTTTTTCTTTTTGAATAACATTGTATTGTTTGGGAATTCGTCCTCCGGTCGTTCTTTCAACGTGTCCATATCATTTTAGTTGCCGTTCCTGTATTTCCTTTACTACTGTTTTTTGTACTTTTCGTAGTGTATTGACTTGACAGTAGATCTCTGCCAGTAGTCCATTTCTCGTGCCAACAGTTCCAGTGATTTATCCATTTAGAGATAGATTTAGATTTATCCATATAGAGAAGTGTTGTATAGACGACGTTTCCGTTTACGAGCTATGTGTTTCTACCAAAGAATGGAATTCAAACAACCAGTCACTTGTTTCCTCTTCATTAGGTAGGTAGGTATATTCTCTAAGGGCGTCGATGGCCAAATTCAAGAGTATCGGGTTTGCCTCCAAGCACTTGAAGATGTTGAGTTTTTGTTTTATTTACTGATAAGCCCAACTCTTGGTATCACATGATCGTCTGGTATATAGAGGTGTATCTTCGTTCAGTAATATGCCCATACCACCGCATGATCTTCTCCAATTCTTCAGCACCTCGTTTAAGTATAGTTTTAAAAATGTGGGAAAGATAACATCCCTGTCTCGATTATGGGAGATTTTTCTAGGACTCTCCAGAGTTTAGTTATCGCAGGCCTTAGTTAAGTCCCCAAATAGTAAACGTATTTACTGGTTTCTTGTGAAAATATTGCCAATACACGAGCTATAAGGTTGTTAATTACTACAAGTTACTACGTTACTACATTTTGACATGCTTTAGAAAATATTTAACATTGGCACTTACTTTTTCGTTAATAATTAGTTTTAATCACTAGTTCTGTCACTCATTAATTGCTGGCGACCATGTGGGTCGTCTCTCGTATCTTTTTTGCAGGCCTTCCTATCCAATATTGTTCTTAGATCCCCCTTTTCACCATATCTTTCCAAATCTCCCCCCTATACCGCGGTTGCCAATTTTTTAATTTTTTTGGCTAACGGTTATACTGCATTGGTCGTATGTGTGTACCATTTAATTCTGCGTCTTTCCGTGACTTGCTTTGCTGGAGCCTTCCTTCGATACTGTTACACTTAAATAGGTTTAGTCTTGCCAAGCTTTCACTACTTGTCCACCAACATTTATGTTGTACTGCACTTACTTTTCTCCAACACATAGTAGATATCAAATGAATCATTCGCTATGAGTATTCGCTAATATCGCTAAAATAGTGTTACTTTTTGTTAAATTTAAAATATGTACCGTGCGTTCAATTTATCTTGATAATATTTTAATTGGCTGTAACTTTATTATTTTTCGAGATATATCAAGGTAAACAAAAACAAAATGTAGGGTTAGTGGTACACCATATTTTTCAAATCGAACACCCTGTATATCATATATGTGCTTAATGGAATCTTAATTTTATATATGATTTTAAAGAGTGCCCTGACTGACAAATGAAAATATGTTTATGTTTGATATATTAGTAAACAACGTTGATAGTTTAATTATTGTACGGGTCATTATTGTTAAAATGGGTTTTCGCGAATTTAGCATCCGTGAAGGATTGATGTGATTCAAGTATACTTTCTGAATAATAATATGAATATGAATATCCAGGGGTGGTGTCATAAATGAGCATATTTGGGGTCCGATATTTATAGGTCAAAGGTTAACTGGAGATCATTATTTGCAACTTTAGAGCACCAAATAGAACAATATATAGAAGATTTATCCCTAAATATATGAGCGCTGATTATATGACAGCAATACGGTGCCCCTCCCCAAAAAATTTTCTTAACATGGAATATGCCAGGTGTTGGATAGGGAACGGCGGAACTATGGATTCGCCAGTTAACAGCCCCGACTTAACTTTAATAGATTTTTTCTCTTGGGGGTACACAAAGAATTATGTGCACAGAACTCCTTGTAATAATGTCGTGGAAAAAGTTCCAGCCAATTAAAATGTTATCAAGATAAATTGAACGCACAGAACATTTGATAAAATTCAATTATCAAAGTCTCAACAAAATCCCATACCAGTCGATCAAGGACCATTAAGCGTATATAATATTGATGGATTGTCACCTTGTAATGTCCCGGAAATGTCCGTAGTTGCTCCGATCCGTGGGAAACGAGAGTGACGTGGTAAAAGGACAGTATGCATAATAACCAAGTTTGACACACGTCATAGCAGTCACTAACGGAGTGAAGACCTGCAGAATTAGAAATGTCAAAATACCATGCCTAAAATCTACCGAAAACATCCGATCGCTGCCAAAGTCGTGACTAAAGCACCGGATACGTTAGAAATGGCTTGCGTCCGTGGATAATAAAGTTGTTGTCTTAACGTGACACTTTCCTCATCCGTGGTTAATCTACTATTTTAAAGCAGGGAATAGAATAGAAACAGGCAAAATATCGTTAGAAGGTTCTCTCTAAAAATAGCATCCGTTGCACACGTCGATGTCACAATTCACAGTTATTGAAGAAGTCGGAGCCAAAATATTTTTTTAAATTCAAAAGTAAAACGTAAAACGTTAAATTAATTCCTGTCCCTGCAATATCGTAGTTTTATTTTCTGTATTAATATTTGTTTTTTTTTATAAACGAGTTTTTATTTTTTATTATTTTATAGCCTAAAATAACTATTAACAATTTCTGCTAAATCTAAATCTTTCCTCGGTACTTCGGCTTTGTCACAAGTCATGACCCAGGGTTGTAATGCATATCTTGGATCCCCTAACAACCAATATATTCCTTTCACCTCGAACAAAGGAAGCAAATATAATTAAAATATACCTCGAAATACATAGGTTGGCATAAAAATAAAGTAAGTGCTGAAGAGTGAAACTTTTTTGGCATCATCAAATATGTAGAGCTTTCCTGCAATATATTGAGTTTCCAATCACCAAATGACTCCATATCCACGTCCACTTATTATGTGCATGTTTTTTGAATGAAATCCTTTTCTGCTGACATTTTTGGTTAGGTTCGGATTTTCTTCATCATTGTTCTTCGTGGAGTACAATGATAGCCGAGAAGTCTAGCATCTCTTTGTGCAAACCGAAAATATACTATTTAAAAATTTTCTGTTCATGAATTTAATGGTAAGTTTACGATTCGAACTCTTTAATATTTGTGGAGAAAAGTAAAAAGTGATTTATCACAAACAAGAGAGACGGTTTCGTATGGTTTCACAAATCACGCGGTTCCCGTAACCCAGGCAACGCCGTTATTGACATAACCGTACAAAGATATTTAAGGGCATACGATTCCCGACTACCGTGCCCAGCGAGATGGTAAATGGCGACCTCGGTCCGAATAAAAAGACTAACCGCTCAATTTTCAGCCGCCCAAAAAGAAAGGAGGAGGCAAAAGCGGAGGAGGTAAGGAATCGCGACCCTTAGGCATCGTTTTAACGGTCACCGCACCCCTAAGGCACCGTCATCGACGGCGTCGACACGACGCAGATGACGCGCGAACAGCTGGAGGTTTTCTGCCGTCGCATCAAGGAGGAAAACGAGCGGGAACGCGAGGAACGAAATTTTTTCCAAATGGAACGTGACAAGCTGAGGACGTTCTGGGAGATAACCAAGAACGAGCTGGAGGAGGCCAAGGCGAAGCTGAGGAACAAGGATCGTGAAATCGAAGAGGCGGCCGAGAAAAACGAACAGGAGCTCAAGTTTTACAAGCAGAAGGTCAAGCACCTCCAGTACGAGCACCAAAACGATCTGACCGAGAGCAAGGCGGAGGCGTTAGTGTCGCTGAAGGTGGCGCAAGACGAACACGCGGCTCAGGAACGGGAGCTCCTCGCGGATAAAAAGCACCTCAAGCGGCGAATCAGGGAGATGGAAGACGCTCACAGGGACCAAATCAAAAATCTAAAAATGGGCCACGAGGAGGACGTGACGGCGACGAGGAACGCGTTCGAGGAGAAAGCCAAAGAGTTAGAGATCAAGTACGAGAAAAAGTATGCGGAGCTGAGGGCGCAGCTGGAGTCGATGCACGAGTAAGTCGCCTGAATATACAAGGTGATCCATAAAGTATAGGCAATTTTTGAAATGGAGATACATAGACCGCAAAATATTACCATTGTGCTCAATATGTTGCTAATTTAGGAAATACTCGCTCCGCTCGTGTCAAATAAACGCATGAGTCAAATGTAGTTTACCGCACTTATTGCATAATATACTATTTCAATTAAATTTTGACGTCTAGTTTTGGGTAGTCTAGTAACTGCAGAGATTCGCTATTCTTTATGTACGTATTAAGAGGCGGCTCATTCCGGTAGCGTGGAGATGTCGGAGGTGGAGGAGCGGAAAAACAACCAGATCGAGGAGCTGAAGAGGCACCACGAGCGCGCGTTCAACGAAATGAAAAACTACTACAACGACATCACGCTGAACAATTTGGCGCTGATCAGCAGCCTCAAGGACCAAATGGAGACGCTGCGCAGGCAAAACGAACGGACGAGCAGGCACGCGACTGAACTCGCGGCCGAAAACAAGAAACTCGCGGAACCCCTGAAGACGGCCCTTGAGGACGCGAAGGAGTACAAGAGACGGCTGCAGAACTACGAAAAGGACAAAGTGTCGTTAGCGGTAAGTGGTCGGAAGGGGGAAGCAAAGCTTTCAAAGGAAAATTGTCGCAGAACACCAGGGCTAACCTGCGGCAGACGCTGAAAGACCTGGAGACGCTACGATGGTCCAACGATGCCCTGCAGCTGCGATTCGACAAGGTAAGTGAAGGGGCCTAAAACTAACGTGGTACCGTACCTATTAAGTTAGTTTACTCCAAAACAACTTTTGATTATCTGTGATATGGTACCATGGTACCAGAATATGCGAAGTAAACTTTCTTTCATGTTAGAAGTCGCTTTAAACAGCTAGATGGAGCTGCGGGCAAGTTCTATATTTTTTGAATGCCAATTTTAAAAAGAGAGGTGAATTGGAAGACATCCAAGGGGCAGAAACCGACATTAAGAATTGAATGAATGAATTGAATGAAAAAAGACAACATAAAAGTGGTCCCGGTCTCTAAAGCTACTGTTAAGGGTGACCTATAGCTAACTCCGCAGAATATGCGAAGTAAACTTCTTTTATTGCTAGAAGAACTCGTTTTAAACATTGCAACAACGGTGTGGCTTCAGCTAGATGGAGCTAAGCCTTATTATTATCGTGAAGTTCGGCAATATGTAGTCAATGGTTGCACTTCCGATTTGAGCGGAAAAATTGTGTCTAGGAGGCCATGACCATCGTAAATACTATTTACCGGGTCACCTGATAATGGGAAATGAAACTTTTCTTTACTTGTCTATGGAAAATAGCATTTAATATAATGAACTTTTAATTTTTTAAGATAACCTGTTTTTTCCGGTACTTTTTTTTGCAACATTTTCATGCCAAAATCCAAGTCCGTTTAAAAAATAAGCTCACAGGAAGGAAAAAACCAGATAAGTAAATACATTTTTATAAAAACGAAATACTACTTGGGTGACTTTGCTGATGGTCGCCTCTTAAACACAATTTTCAAAAATTAAATAAAAATTTTAAAAAACAAAGTATCCAAAAATCCATATCGCTATCTCAAGCCGTTTAAAAGTTATAGAGTGTCCCCACTTTCTTGGGTCACCCGGTATATTATTTATATGATTTCAATTAATATAATTTCTGTAAAAAAAAAATCGTTTACCGTTTAAATTTTAATAATTGCGGCTCTGTAAAAATTTCAAATGTTTAAAAATGTATTTTTTATTCGTGTTTTGGTCACAATATTCCCTGTCGTCGACAACCGTATACAAATAAAACGAATAAAAAAAAGGAGTTGACGATTGATGCAGCTCCAGGCGGAACGAGACGAGCTCCACGATCGGTTCGTCGAGGCCGTGCTCGAGGTGCAGCAAAAGACGGGCGTAAAGAACGTGCTGCTCCAGAAACGGATTCAGACGCTGAGCCAGATGGCCGAGCATAAGGAGGTGATTATCGGGGAGATGAGCGCGGCCCTCAAGAAGCCCCCGGAGAGGAGCAACCAAAAACTGGAGGTAAATTCCATCACAAGGATGTTTTATGCTCTGTTAATCCCCCAAAATTGACCTGGGCCAGATGGTTTTCGATATTTTTAAAATCATGCCCCGATCTTTTGCGAGCCACTCTTTTTGCTATACAATCAATCGATCTTAACTTTTTACGTAGTACTTCACTCGGCGGCAGACTACGTATTGTTGCAGAGAGATTTGCCAAATTTTCAAGAATATTGTTCCCTGAACAGATTGTTTGTTTAAAAAATTACCACAATTGATAATTAAAAGTGATCTCTACCTAGGTAACTGCAAACTGAACTTTTCGGACTGAACTTTTTTTTGAGATGCACGTAGAAAACATTGTTCAAAAGGCTCGAAAGAGTCTTGGATTCATTCTACGGGTGACTAAAGGGTTTAATAATAAATAATCTTTAATAATACTTTTTTACGGTCTTCTCAGACCCGCTGTGGAATACGCTACGCGAGTCTGGAATCCAATGTATTTTAAATATATTGAACGGCTGCAGAGTGTACAACGAAAATTTGTAAGTGCTATAAATTATAGATTTAATAGAGGGAGACACTTTTCTGGTTATAGTGAAAAACTTCGGTTCTATTGAATGCAGTCTTTCGTAGAACAAATTTTAATTTACTATTTCTTTATAAAATTGGAAACAACTTGATTGAATCTCCTTTCGTTTTGGAAAAGACATACTTTAATTGAAATCCCTACATTCTTCGAAATAGGCAAACGTTCGCTGTATCTAACAATAATAATCTTTATTGTCCAATAGAGAAGTCATTAAATAATTTCATCAACTGATAGAACCAGCCCATTTAACCAAAAAATTGGTTCTTGGAGTTGCTAGGTGAAATACAGCTGACGCCCTTTGTCCTTGAGAGGAAATGGAAGTTCTGCCGGTTTAGCAACTCAGCAACTAATAAATTGCAAAGTTTATAAAAAAACTGAAGTGAAAGGTACCTCCTACGATTCAACAGTGAGGGAACCTTAAACATTAGTAAAAATCACTCTGTGGCAGTCCCCTAGCCGGGTAGAAACAACAACACAATATGAAAGTAGAGAAATTTCTGAAACTTTCTCTGAGTTTCCAGCGCACATAACCATAACAGTTTTAATGAGTTTCTCGACATCATTTCTGAAGGAGAGTTTTGCGTCAAACGTTACACCCAGGTCCTCGAAATTGTCACATTTTCTTAGTAATACGTGATCCAGATGGTAATTAAAAGTTATAGTATCAGTTCTGTTTGAAAATGTCATTATATATATTTATATTATATATTTATCAGGGGTAGGTTATTAGAAGCACATCAAGAACCAATAATCTCCAATGACAATGACTACTTCTTCTGGAGTTTTGCATCATAATTTTTCTGATCATCTCGCAGTTTTTTGTCAAATCATATTTGCAGCCGTCCGTCAATCGCCATTGCTTCAACGATATCGATGTTTCCGAAGTTTCAATAATGACTTTTTTGAACAGGATCTTCTCGGTACCTCATTCTTATCTTCTTCTCTTCTCATTTTATTCACGAAAATTAAACTGATACGAAAACATATGTGCTTAATTTCTTCATAACTTCATTGTCGATAAACATTCTCCTTTTGTCGTTTCCAAGATCAGCAAAACCTATGCTCCTTGGTTAACACATACTATTCGTCAAATGATGAAAATTAGAGATAGTCTATCCAAATCTATCGCTGACTACATTGTTTATAAAGAAATAAGGAATGTTGTTACAAGTGCAGTACGTAAAGCAAAATCGGCATATTTATCTTACAATTTCGATTCTAGGAATTCTAAACAGATATGGGAAACTTTAAATATGTTTAAAATTTTTAATCGACCGACTTTGGAAATATCACGTAACTTAAATAATTATCATTTTACTTGAGTTTTTAGCAATATTAACAATTGCTCCGAAACCACGTATTTCTCTAAAACTTGCAAGTTCAACTGGAATTTGCAATTAAAATCGCGACTATTGTTTCAATCAGTATTCTTCCAACCTTATCTAAAATTTTGGAGAAAATTATAAATATACAAATTTTTTGAAAACTACTTAGCTAACAGATATCAGAGAGTTACCCTTGACAATGTAAGTTCTGAATTTCTCCCTGTTTCATCAGATGTACCGCAAGGTTCTGTCCTCGGACTTATATTATTCCTAATTTATATTTCTGGTATTTATACATCCACCGAATATTTGAATTTGCATTCGTTTCGATCCTAAATTATTTGATATTGCTTCAATTTATATCAATTTCATTGTATTTATTAATTAACAGTGTTATTGATGTTATATTTGATTGTAGACATAGATTCGTGGAATATGTATCTTTGTTGGTGAAAAAGTCTTATTTGGTTTTACGCCATTTATACAGACATAGAACTGTCCTTAATTTCAGTTCACGGAAACTTTTAGCTCAATCGCTTGAACTATGGTCCTCTATTACCCATATCTTGATAGTATTAATAAAAATAGATTGCAAAAAATTCAAAACAGCTGTTGCAGATTTATTTTCGGCTTGCGTAATTTGGCTGACTAAAAATTGATAGTACTTTCAAGTACTTTTTGGCGTCTATTGTTTTCGAAATTATTATTAAATTATATTATTTTTAATATATCGTTTATCTTTGTTCGCAGATCATTTTCTTATAAGGCTGTTGTAATTTTTAATGGTATACCCGATTCGGTAAAATCACGTTCAATTAAATTCTTTAAGAAATATTTCAGGTTGAAACTGCTCACTTCCCAAAGAATTTGATTTTCAATGTTATTCTTTTTATTTTTACTTTTAATAATTTTCTACTGCTCCATATTACTATTATATTTTCCATTTCAACATTTAAGAAGTTAAGTGCAGTAGCTTTTGCTAGACTTCGCCTCTTCACTACCGTATATTTCTATATAACAATATACAACAATAAAGGCAATTTATTATATTATATTATTATAAATCATCCTGCAGAGACACACAGTCGACCACACTATCATCATCACTACATATCATTCAAACGACTCATCTAACTTTCCGATTATCAGATGCATCCGTACTTGTAACAGGGTAAAGAACGCGCTTCCGGATCTTGATCAATTTGCTCTGAGCTTTGAAGCTTTTAATCGACACTTAGGACGGTATACCCCAATTAACATACTGTAATAAAAAATGAGATTTTGCTGGTAAAAAATAATTTAAACTAGTCCGCTGACACGGTATCTCTATATTGTGACATTTTCTGATTTCCTTTTATTGGCTGTCCAGCGTCTGTGTGTAGGAAGACTTGTTTATAAATAAATAATTTCAGGAAATCCTGGCGAAGAAGAACGCGACCATCAGCGACCTACAATACGAGCTGGCGAGGGTATGCAAGGCGCACGACGATCTTCTCGAGACGTTCGAGGAGAAACTGATGACGTACGGCATCCCCAAGACGGAAATGGGGTTCGCGCCGCTGAGGACGGTGCCCGACGGGCAAGCTGCTGCGGCTCGAGGCCCCGCCGGCTTGGTGGCGCAGAACAAATGACGGTTTCTCACGCAATAAAAATGCCGCGGATGCGAGCGTGCTTTTTTTGTGTTCGACAAGCGACGCGTCCAAACTTCCGCCGCGAATCCGCGGAACCGAAAGCCCCCCCGGTTGACGCAGAAATGGGGGAAAAACGAATAAAATACAATGAACGTCAGGACTAATTACGAGAACTTTTAAAGCGGCATTTTTTACAATACTCTGCAGCAACCAGATAGATTGCAATTGATGAAAACGTAATATTACATTGCCAACAAAAGTTAAAAACTAATTTTACGTGCTCTAAAATAAAAAATCCTGAAAGTTGTAGTGAACTGCGACCTACTAGCATATCACCAATCCTTTCCAAGATTACAGAAAATATTATGTAACAAAAAAACAAAGTATAGGGTTAGTAGCCAAGTTTTTTTTCCAAGTGACGTATAAAACAAAACACTATCAATTTTTCGACAATTTTCTGTGTATTTAATATAATAAATAGAATATAAGTAATAGAATATCTCAAATCGGCAAAAATAAGAAATTTTTATATAACTTCAAACAGTGCCGTCACTGACTGCAACAACAATAATTATTTACAAATTACAGTAGAAAAAAAAAACACTATTCTAAATACTGCTATATTTTCCTGAACACATTTCTCATACACTCTAATTGTAATGTGTATTGTATTGTATTTAGTAACGTTTCCGGATTGTCTCTGAACTGGATTTTTATTTCGTGTATTTGTGTAGGAACGAACTTTCATCAGTCCATAAAATGGTTTTAAAAAATTATTATTTTCATTATGTCTGTTTGAAAAATCCAAAAAAAACTGCATCCTCCTTTGACATTATTGTGCACTTAATGTACATGATGTAGGCTTATGTCAAAAAAAAAACTTGGCTACTAACCCTACATTTTATTTTTTTGTTTATTTTGATATCTCTAAAAACGAAAAAGTTTCAGCCAATTAATATGTTATCAAGATAAATTGAATACATCGTTGTAAAATCTTTTATTACGATTTGATTTTGATAACTCTTTCAAAAGCGCACCAAAAAACCTTATGGTTCTTTTCCCATCAACCAACCGGAACAATTTTTGATGTCCAGAAGGGCTATTGGGGATTTCTTTAAAATAAAAAAAAAGTGTCGACGAATTCTTATTCACGACTACATAAAACCTAACTAAACTAATTTCCATGAAGTTTGCCTAAGCATTGCTCCTGTGAAATGTTTCTTGGTGGCTCAATTTTGATAATTCTTTTATGCTGGACAGATCTTACTAAAGAGAAATGAAACAGTTTTTTCATATACACAGTTTTTTGAAGCGGAAGATCAAAAAGTACTTTTAGAGATTTTTTCAAATTGAAAATGAATATAAATAAACCTTGCAAATAACGATTATTATATATAATAATATATAAATATTACAAATCTTAGTATTCGTATTCGAAAGGAACAATGTAAACAAAATTATAATATAAATTAGCGAGTTGAATATTGACGGTCAAATATTCGCTTCTTCATGGCAAACTATGACCACGTCGACCAATTTTGATATTTGTGTTATTTTCGTTATTAGATAACAATTAAAAATTCTTTTTAAATAAAAAAATTAAGCGTTGTAAAAAGTGTGTTCAGTTTATATCTAATCCCCTTTAATCATGTTTAATTTTAAGAAATAAGCATAATTAAGAATCAGAATTCTTAAAGAAATCCCTTCTAGATACTTGACATCAAAAATTAGTCTCAGTTAGCCATGACTTCAGAGTTCCCGGATCTCCCGCATTTTCTAGTTCACAAATATTGCAGATCGAGTTAATAGTTATCGAGAAAACATTTTTTTTCTGGAAGTCAAAATATACCAAAAAAAAAATTTCAAAAATTTTTCCAAAACACTGCGAGATTTGAGTAAGTCTATTTTCAACAAATGAAATGCCGAATCTGAAGTCGATTTTTGAATACATCACTTAATATCTTGAACGCCCTGTACAACAGGCAAAAACCTTAAATACACAAGTTTTAGCTGTCTATTTCGCGAAATGATTTTTTTCTTAGACCCTTGCAAACGCGATTTTTTTTTAGAATAGTTCCCGACCCCCCAGTCACCCATTTTCAATAGGTGCCGTCACGGAGCAATGCTGCATAAATGTGTTAAATATAAAGTCGATTGCTTCAAATTTCGGAAACTTATCGTGTTTCATAGCAAGGTCCAAAAAACAGTCGAAAATTGAAAAAAAAATGGCCGCCGAGGTGTGATCGCTGCCATTTTTAGATATCTTGTGTATCCCGTAGACTGTTGAAAAGGAGCAAAATTTGAACCGTTTAGTTCACACCGTTCAGCAGTGATTGTCGAAAAAGTCCAGGAACAGAGAACGGAGAACGGACAGATAAAATTTTTTTTCGAAGCTGTTTCGTTCTAGTTTCTGGTGCATTATCAAAATCGAACCATGTATTTTACAAGGGTGTACAGTTTTTAAGCCGGACACACTGGAAATGGATCTCGGAGCTTTAGTAAGTTGCTTCGGATATGTTACACTTCGGATAGGCAAACAACCAAACCCACTTGTGTTTGATAAAAAAAAAGGAGAAAATTGAATTACAAATTGGAGGTTAAATTAAATTAGAAATATAATGTACATTTGTAAATTTTTGTATTTATTGACTACTTAATCGAAAAGTTATAACAGTGCTCAGAATTCAGTGGCCTATTCGGTATACGGGGTCATGTCAACAAGTTATCGGACTTTATCTAATTTCCATATCTATACACAGTGGCTGCAAAAATGCAATTATGCAATCAATTACAATAAAATTACGCGAAGAAGGAAAGATAAATAGGAGGATTACGAGGAAGAAAGTGTATGTAAGGAAGCCGAACGATTCGGTCTTGCTTCGAGAACGCGAAACAAAGAAAGACCCAGATGATGGACAGCTATACGCGGATTTTTACGGTAGGATGACTTTTAATCTAGAAAATACCTTCCGTCCTACCCCCCCCCCTCCCCCCCACGTGCCCCACCACGGCGACGGCGGCGGAGCGCGCCAGGAAAACCCGCGCGTATTCAAAGTTTCGCTTCCGTGGACACTGTCCGGCCGAATTCGTCGCGATCCGCTGCGAAAGACTTACTTTTTGCCAGCAGTGCGAACAGGAAGAAATTTTCACACGGGGTGAGTCCGCAACATGCTCGAAAAACTCGCAATATCCGGGCCGAAAATTTTACCGCGTTTCATGCGTCCGCGTTATGATTTAAGAAAAAAAAAATTGGATATTGATGCGACGACTGAAGCGAGGCCGCAAAATACGTTAGTCATTTTCTGAAATCGAATTCTTGGTATCGCGTTTGCGGCGGAGGTTTAAGATATCCGTAACTAAAGAATAATTAAACGATATCGCGTGACGACCATGAGAGAGGAAATTTAAAATCGAAGAGAATCGCAAAAACGAAGATATTTTATCAATCGCTGTCGTAGTTTAATATGCACTGAACCAATTAAAAATATTTAATACAAAAAACACAAGACTGCTTTCGAAAAATCGTCGGTGGGCGGAGCAAGTTCGTAGTGCGTAGCGCGAAGCAGCTTTGCATTTCAAAAAGAAGTCGCTTCGCGTTTCCTTGTCCTAGAGGGACGCATTGTTTTTCTATCGTGTTCCTGCGGACCACTACGGAACTTTCGCAAAATCAATGTAATTGTATTGTGTATACACCCTGTATAAATTGACTTTCACGGTGGCCGAAATTCAAAATTATAGCAGACCTTGGTAAATATAAAAATTTCCACCGGTAATAGCGATTTACGATAATATTTTTATTCAAATATCTCGCCCACCCTGTACAACAGACCGGAACAGTGAATCAGAAAACTGTAGCTCTCGATCCAGTTTACAGTATTATTTAAACCAAATTATTCCATATTTTGACGTTTTTCATTTACGATCAACGATTTACCCAAAAAAAAACGGAAGTTTTTAGGCATTGTTAGAATTTTTGACCAAAAACAACACGCCCTGAATATAATTCAAAAAATGTTCGAATTAGAGGTTATAGCCCGGAATCTCTCACGTTTCTTAGTCCATAAATTTTTCCAACAGAGTAAATGGTTTTGGAGAAAATATTTTTTTCTCGTTTTTCAAATATCTCGAGCGTGATAGACAAATACCGTAAATACAAAAATTGTAGCTCTGGATGCGGCCCATAACATCGGCCATGTTTGGCCATATTTTCTACGAATTTTGGTTTGCGGCAAATAATTTACTCTGGAAAAGAACAATTTTCATTGTGTTTTAGAATTTTGTCTATAATTGAAAAACCACATAATCAAAAAAATGATTGAAATGAACCGTATCTTCTGCATCTCCTGGTAAAAGAATTTTGCCAATGGGGCTAATAGTTTCCAAGAAAATAAGAAAATTTTGTGAACTTCTACCTCACTGCCAAGTCGGTGGCTGCAAAATTGGGGCACTTATTTATTTAATATTGGACGGAATATCGCGAACACCCTGTACAATAGGTAAAAACCTTAAACACAAAACTGTCTATACGGGTTATATCTTCATGTAAACGAAACTAACATGTAAAACACTACTTAAATTATAGCTAATTTTCAATAATAGGGGGACCCACTTTTCAGTTTTTTTGAATTTACGGCGCACCCTGTACATTTTTGAAAATTTGTCAAGAATAAAAGTTTATGGAGCCGAATCTTCTGCGTCTTTTTGTTCAAAAATTTTTTCAGTTTTGAAAACGTGGTCTTTTTTGTAGACCTCTGCACACGCTATTTTTATTTTTTTTTTAAATACTTCCCGTCCCTCCGGCCCCCCCCCCCCTTTTTCGATAGGTTCCGTTGATAGCTTCAAATTTCGGACACTAATCGTGTTTCGTAGCAATACCAAAAACAGTCGAAAATCGGGAAAAAAAGATGGATGCAAGCGTCAGATCGAAGCCATTTCTTATAGGTTTATGTATCTCGTGGAGGGTTAAAAAAGCAGTTGCAAAGTTATTCCGGAAAAGCCAAAAGACGAGAACGGAGAACAGACAACGCCCAACAGACAAAAAAAAAGTTTTTGAAGCTGATCATTTCTATACCAACGACGGTCACCTAGGAGCTACCGTCATTGAAATATAAAATTTTTATACGGGCGTATAAGGTGTCATACAAGCCCTCCATCAAACATGGGCGTTAAAATCCAACAATTGTCGATAGTTAAAAACTGATTTTGATTTTTTTTTTATTTCTTTTCTTTTTCTAGTATATTATGCGAAATGTTTTGCGAACGGCACTTTAGTCACGAGCGGAACGACCGCTACTACTGAACTATTAAACTATTAAACGAATGTCTGACGAAGTGTATTATTTTTAATTTATTTTGTTTATATTTCTACGCCTCCAACTCTAAAATACCACACATGCGCACAGAGTGTCACTTTAAGGTTTCGTTAACCACTGTGACAAGCCACCGGATGTTTTCGGTGCTTTGGCCACATGTTTGAAGAGATATATTTTCGGTAAATTTTAGCCTCTGTTTTGTCAGTTCTGACTAGTGTTGGGACTATGTTACTATGTGTTATCTATCATTATTTAATAATAATATGTATTTTAAATTAAATTATAAGTAATAATAAGTAAAGTCTTATTTGAAGAAGGAAAAGACCCCTTTTCTACTTCTTCATCTGGATAATGTTTATCATAATATATGATATATAATGCATATATGTATTAATTATGTAATATCATTTGACGATGCAAACTTGCTTCATTTTTTTCCACCCAATCTTACATGTTGGTCAAACAAAGAAAACGTCTCTAACGAAAAAGACGCACGGTGAGTTTGTTGAATTACGTTAAAACGGTATAAGTCAAAAGAGTAACTAGTCGACAAGCTAAAGAGGCTGTCAAAATCCTACTAGACTATTTTAAGGAACGAGAATCTGCGAACATTGGCGACATTTTGAA